GGCGCCCAAGGGGTTATCCATTGAAGCTGCGGCTCTTCCGGCTGTGTTTGAGGGATAATTTCCTCAATTTCCGGCGACCCTGATACTGCTGCTTGCTCCGTGGCTTGTCTACCTGTTGATCGAGTTTGTGTGCGATTTACAGCGTTTCCTGACCGCGCCCGCGACCGTATTATGAGTCTTCGTCGTCGTTGCGTCTTGAATCGTATTTCGTGATAACTCCCTTATTGCCAGGGCAATGTATGTGAAATTATATGGCGGGGCGTGGTAGGTCAGGGTGTAGGCCCAAAATCAAGGTGGGGCATTAGCACGAATAGTTAGGGTTGGTAGCACGAATAGCACGGCCCGTCCAACTCCCTGCGATTGTGAGTTTGCCCAGGCCCTTGTTTTCCTGATACGGAAAGGGAAAACACATACTGACTTGAACATGGTCACATCCGGCAAAACTGAGCACGTTGACCAGTACCACCTTACTGACATGATTGTGGTCCGCGTCGAGGGCAAGGGCGGCGATCAGAAGGCCGACATGAATGTACACGTCCCTGATGTAGGCAGTGGTGTCTGTAACAATAGTACCAAGGTCGGCGGTGCCATGGCTGGTGCTCTTGATGGTATTTTGGGCGGAATCTTCACCCTTGCTTCTAGTGGGTGCAAGTAAATGAGTTGAAGTCGTATTTTTTGTAGGGAACTGGGTGTATGCTAAAAATAGATGTCTGGGCTGTAGCGGAGACTTTCGGCGATAAAGTTTGAATCTGTACTTTGAATCGTGGCGACATCACTCCTAGACCTGCTTTTGCCTACTATTAACGGAGAGTGGTATGAGCATTTTTTTTCATCGAATACAACTTCCTACAGCGCAAATGGTGAAAGTATGATGGAGGACCCCCCTATAAGAAAAAAAAAAGACGCGAGTGAGAGAGATAAATGGAAAGAAGGACTTAGCAAGAACCACAGTAAAGCAGTACTATTATTCCCTCATGGAAAAGACATTGATGTAGTCTCAGTCCCGAGCTGCCGGGTAGCTGGCACGAAAGGCTTGCAGACATCGGCGAAACCGTAAACCGTTGAGGGACCGGTGTCACGTGCCTCAACCAATCGCCGTGCGGGCCATGTCGGGGGAACCTTTTTGCTGGGTTGGCACGGGGCCGATACCCCCGCCCGTCCCGTCATTGGTGCTCAACCAAGCATGTGGACGCCCGGCTTGGCCGCGATCAGACCCTCCTGCGATTCGCATTTGCATTTCTGGCACTTTGTTCCCTAACACAATTGATTCAACATCCCCAAGCCCTCATTCTCATCGCACAACAACACAAATCAGTCACAGCGCGGGCGCACACGTCATTGCAATATAGAAGATTTCAGTCACTCTCTTCAGACTTTTCCAACTCCGCCCAACGGTTTCGTTGCTCCATCATGAGCGCATCAGCCACAGTTGCCCGCCGGGCAGCTGCGAGGACCCCCTTGTTAAGAAACGGTCAGCCTTGCTCAAATCGTTTTGTTGCATCTCCAGTACTGACTATATGTAGCCCAGGCCTTGTCGCGCGGCGTTACACCCAGCTTGATGGCCAGACATATCGGCCGCCAGTCACAAGTTTCGGCACTGGCACTTCTGATTCCCATGCGACAGGTCAGCACCGAGCATCACCGACCTGACTCACAACATACTGGCCCGCCACCGGGTTTCAACGTCGACCAGGCTAAGAAACCGTTGCCGAAAGAGAACCCTGCCGTCGAGGCCAAGGGCGTAGAAGCCAAGAGCCCAACTGCAACCGCTGGCCAACTTGACAAAACACAGGCCGAGGCCGCCATGACCGACTTGGCCGCCAAAAAAGAGGATTTAGCACAGCAGAAGGAGGTGACCAAGGCGGAGAAGGAAGAGAAGAAGCTCACTTTGTGGCAAAAGGTTAAAAAAGAGGCCCAGCACTATTGGGATGGAAGTAAGCTGCTTGCTACTGAAGTCAAAATCAGCTGGAGACTAGCGCTCAAGATGGCTGCTGGCTACGACCTCACCCGAAGAGAACACAAGCAGCTGCGACGAACAGTCCAGGATCTGGGCCGCCTTGTCCCATTCAGCGTCTTCATCATCGTTCCGCTAGGTGAGGCACTTTTGCCTTTGGCATTGAAGCTGTTCCCCAACATGCTGCCCAGCACGTTCGAGGGCCAAAAGTCCAAGGAAGCCAAGGCCAGCGTCCTGCGATCCACCCGAAAAGAAGTGAGCAGCTTTTTGCGACAGACTCTCAAGGAGACTGGTCTTCCGCTAAGCCAGGCAACGGCCCAGAAGGAGGAGTTCGCCAACTTCTTTCGCAAGGTTCGCTCCACTGGCGAAGCTCCCACTCACGAGGACGTCATCAAGGTCTGCAAGGTCTTCCGAGATGACATGACCCTAGACAACCTGTCACGCCCTCAGTTGGTTTCCATGTGCCGATACATGAACCTCAACACCTTTGGTACAGATATGATGCTGCGATATCAGATTCGCCATCGCATGAGACAAATCAAGCGAGACGACAAGGCCATCAGCTTCGAAGGTGTCGACAGTCTTACCGTCCTGGAACTGCAGACGGCTTGCGCTGCTCGTGGTATCAGGACTCACAGCGTGTCCCCTGCTCGCATGCGGACCGACCTGCAGTCATGGTTGGACCTGCGTCTGAAGGAGGGTGTTCCGTCTACCTTGCTCGTCCTCAGCAATGCGTACATGTATGGTCAGGGTTCAGGCGAGGGCTCAAGCCAGATTGACGCTCTCATCGGCGTACTTTCCTCCATCCCCGAGGAGTTGTTCCACGAAATCGAGCTCGAGGTCCACAATGCCGAAGGCGCCGCCACCAACAAACAGCGTCTCGAGGTTGTCAAGGAGCAGCAGGAGCTTATCGAGGAGGAGAACGAACAGAACGAGGAAAGCCAGAGCACTGGCATGGCCACACCTCGTGATGTTGAAGACATTGACGAAAAGGAGGAAAGAATCATGCATGCTGAAGCTGAGGGTGCTGACAAGAAGGCTGCCAGCGAAATGGTCGATGCTGAGCGCGAACAGGCTCAAGTGACCGAGCAACAGGTCAAGACCCAGTCCAACACGGAGAAAAAGTGAACAAAAAGACAGAGGAAAGCGCAGAGCTTGGTGACTTGACCAGGACTCGCATCGAAAAAGAAAAGCGACACGCAACTTCGCTGCCAAAGCACATCTCCCCTACGCATTGCCACATATTGAGCAGAATAATGCCAAACCACTCTATCATTCAACGATCTTGTTTTATTTTCATATGTATGATTTGAAACGTGGTGGAGCTGGCCTTTTTTTGCCCCGGATAGGGGCTGGGTGTAACGATATGCAAAACAGAAAACTGAGCGGGCGGTACACATGGCCCATCTCATGGTGCGATCACGGTGAAAGCGACATATATACATCACATAGACTTTTTGCCACCAACAGGATAGGAAATAGACTGCATTGAATTTTGTATGTACTACCTTTCTGCTATATTACGATGTCAAGGTAAGTTCATGTGCTGGTACCCTTAACTATCAATACAGCGGTTGTGAAGATTGAATTGACGGCTCCGGAGGCCTGCGTCATCGTCGCAGGGGCCGCTCGCAGGATGCTGTTAAGGGGTACATGCGTGGCATTTGTAAGATGACAAACGATCTTGATGCTTCATGTTACATAAAGTGTGAATATGCGCAGTTAATTCGGTCACTATTTTATTGGACTCAGCTCATAACAAGCTTCGTTCTATCTCGTGACACTTATATCTTGTTCTTTGTTTGTGCTTGTCTTTGTATTCCGCAACATACACCGGAGGCTCTTCAGCCCCCACATCGTCATGCTACGCCACAGCCTTGATCCGAGCTCCCACCAGCTATTCATTCATACGGTTCGCACTTGCAACCTTCGCCTATTCAAGAGCATATTTCCCCTCGACTGCTACCTCTTGCCTCTCCGTGCTCCTCAGGGTCGACGAAACTGATTCCTTCGGGCCATTCTCCCCCCTGCAAAGAATCGACACCTGTGTCTCGGCGCGAAAACAGTCAAACTCGTTTCCCCCGCTCGCCGAATCAACCGTGCAACGCCGTGCTGCACATCGAACAGCAACACCATGGCGGTCACTGACCAAGATCACGACCAAGACAACTTCTCCAGCATATCATGGACGGAACATGACCCCGCCGTAAATGCAGTCGCAGGACAGCACGGGCACCATGCCGGCGAAGCCTCAGCAGCCAGACGTAGCGGCCGCGAGCTCGATCCTCACGGGCTAGGCAGCGAGAAGCTCGAGTGTACAGTTGGTAGTCCGCTCAAGGAGAATGACGGCAGCAAGGATGCATTCATTTCATATCTGATTACCACTCACGTACGTATACGCGACTGTGCGAAACAGCCTCGGCCCTCCTCCTTCGGCGCCGAGGAGGCAATACTGGCCCTTGACTGCAACGTCCCCTCCCCATCGTCAGTGAGACACAAACAGCTAACATGGACGTGTTCCACACACCAGTCCACCTTCCAGTCGTTCCAGAAAGAGACAACGACTGTCCGCCGACGCTTCACAGACTTTGTCTTCCTATACAAGCAGCTCATGCGAGACTATCCCGCCACCGCCGTGCCCCCGCTGCCGGACAAGCAGCGCATGGAATACGTGCGCGGCGACCGCTTCGGCCCAGACTTCACCTTGCGACGAGCACACTCGTTCCAGCGCTTCCTCACCCGCCTGTCACTGCACCCGATCCTCCGCCGGGCACCCATCCTGCACAGCTTCCTCGAGAGCCCCGACTGGAACGCGACCATGCGCAGCCGCAGCGCCCGCGCCAGCCTGTCCACCGACCCCAGCAACTCGAGCGGCGTCTTCGACAACTTCGCAGACACCTTCATCAACGCCTTCACCAAGCTGCACAAGCCGGACAGGCGCTTCATCGAAGTCAAAGACAAGAGCGACAAGCTCGACGAGGACCTGGGCAACATTGAAAAGATCGTCGCCCGCGTCGTCCGCCGCGAGGCCGACCTCGAAACGGACCTCAAGGACCTCGCCGAGCAGTTCCAGAAGCTCATCGCCCTCGAGCCCGGCGTCGAGCCCGAGGTCCACGCCTTTGCCGCCTCCATCCAAGACACCGCCGCGCACCTGCACACCCTGCGCGACGTCACCGACCAGGACTACCTCGGCTCCCTGCGCGACATGCAGGCCTACTCCCTCTCGCTCAAGAACCTCCTCCGCGCGCGGGAGCAGAAGCAGCTCGACTACGAACAGCTCACCGAGTACCTCAACAAGTCCACCGCGGAGCGCGACTCCCTCCAGTCGGGCTACGCGTCCTCGGGCGCCGGCTCCTTCATCCGCGCCAAGATCGAAGACGTCCGCGGCGTCGACCACGAGCAGGCCCGTCGCGAGCGCCAGCGCAAGCTGGAGCTGCGCGTCGAGGAGCTCACCAACGAGGTGGAGCGGGCCCGTGCCACGAGCGACATGTTTGACGACGAGGTCGTCCGGGAAGTCGCCGATTTCGAGCGCATCAAGAGGGCCGAGTTCAAGGCACAGCTGGGTGGGCTGGCGGATGCACATGTCGGGTTTTACGGGGAGGTGATTGACATTTGGGAGAGGTACATTAAAGAAATGGATCAGGAGGGCGTGGCGGCCGCGTAGTTGAAAAGCTACAAACTAAACACTGGCGTTGCGGTTGATTTTGTTCTTTTTTTTTCGATTTTCCCTTCTGGCTCGGCGTTGGCGAATAAGTAGTTACGATAACAACCTTTGGTGTCCTACAGAACGTTCATGGCACTGTAATACGCCCGTTGTAAATAAACCAGTCATTGGACAGCCCCAAGCACTATGCGGTCCCAGAAACCATTCCTCATCTCCGGTGTGTTGTGTTCGAGTACCAAGTAAATCTATTGATAATGCTGGGCTAGGCATGATTTTCTGATAATACATTCAAAACTCCTTTTGATCCCATGCAAATGAGCAATGCATTTGAACAGGAAGCGTATTCCAAAACCGAGGAAAGAACAACCAGTCGACCGTCATCACGGCTTTCGCCCTCAAAAATATACACCGCATCCAAATGAGTCCTTGTTCCGTGTACCTAAACGCCAAGGTGGTTATGATCGGCTTCCTCCGCCAAGGGGCATTGTTTCGGCTGCCCCTGGATTATCCTCGTCATCGCTCTCTTCACCCACGACATATTGATCGTCTTCATACTCATGACCGGCCAATCTTTCCGCTGACGGATCTCTGTATTCATCAAACTCTTCCTCGTCATCACTGGCTCCGGCAAAGGCATCATACAACTCGCCACCGCGGGTTCGGCGGCCTTCACCGCGCTTCTCATTGCTATTCAGACCATCGGCCTCTTCTTCATCAAGCAGTTCAAACTCATAGTCGTCACGGGGCGTGTTACGACGCTTTCGAGCGATGAAGAGGTAAATACACAAGCCAATGCAGAAGAGCACAATAAGGACAGCAGCACCAATAACCCACAGCATAGCCGTCTTAGACCCAAAGCCTGGGAACCAGGATGGCGGAGAAGTAGAAGTAGCGGCGGCGGAAGCAGTAGCCGAAACCGAAGCCGTAGCTGTAGCAGTATGCGTGGGGCTGGCTGTTGGCGTCGGACTTGACGTAACAGGAAGACTGACATACTCGTCCTCTGTAGGCATACCCAGATCGGTGGCCTTTTTGGCATCGATAGACTCGCCCCATAGCTTTAGGCGCCAGTCAATAAATGTACCATTGCGTTCGTTTTGCACTGTATCTCTAACGACCAAAGTCCACGCTCCAACACCGGATTCACCCCTGCATGTGGGTTAGTGATTTGATGTCAGCAGGCGCCTGAGCAGTGGAAATATTCCTTACCAGTGAGCAACGCTCATGAAGGTCCAGTTAACATAGCCGGCATAGTGCTCATCGCCGCTGCGAGTAGTTGCGATTTGACTGACCATGTTGGATGGGCTGATCAGGTCGACGCTAATGTCACCACGTCGAGTGTGGTTGACATTCATGAAGATTGTCACATGCTCCAATCGTCCCAGATTTGCCTCCTTTAGCATGTCCTTGGTGACAGTAAAATTGGCACTAACGCCGCTTGGCCCTTCAGGAATTGCCTCCTCGACCTCAAGCCGAGGAGAAAAGAACCATGCTTGAGGCTTGACCTTGTTCCAAGTCTTGGCTTTCTGCACAAGGTCGTAGGTGTCGATTTTGCCATAACCAAATGCGTGGCTGAATTGCTTTCCAATACCTGTCTCGTTCCAGACAACGCCCGGGGCGGAAAAGGGCTTGGCAGTGTCCATGACAAGGTATTGCATGTCTCTCCAGCTCAGCTCCGGGTTAACCTCCAAAACTAGGGCAAAGATACCAGCGGCCAGTGGAGCTGCCGCCGAAGTTCCTCCGTGACGATCTGTGCATTTGTTTGCTCCGACATCTGTCGTGTGCTAGGTGTTGTGAGCCAATGGGTTGCCGATCAGTGAGATTCTTAGTTGGTACTTACGATGAAACCGTCGGAAGCGCTGCCACCGCTGCTGTAAGTGACCGCGAGCTGAGCGGAGCAAGGTTCAGAGTAATACGTCTGTTGATTATCCCTGCTAACAGCGCCGACTGTGATGCTAAAGATGGAGTTGGTATATCCATCGAAGTTGCAGTTATCTCCACTCTTAGCTCCATTACCGCTGGCAAAGACAAAGATAGATCCGAGCTTATTACGACCTTCTTGAATAGACTTGAGCATGGCCCTTCTGATCAGAACACTAGGGGCCTCCATGGTGCGGCCGTCATCAGAAGGGCCCCAAGAGCATGAGTAGATTTGGTTCTTGTCGTTCCTGTACATGAGAGCCTCGGCTTCATCTTCGTCGGAGATGACGGCGCTCAAAATGCGGATGCCTGCGACCTTGGACTCATACGCAACACCGATACCGCAAACATCATTGCGGACAGCGGCGACTTCTCCAGCGCATCGTGTGCCATGGTGGTCATCTGAAAGCACAGGGGCGGGTTCTGGGTCGTGGTCGTTGAAGTCGTAAGAGCCCTCGGCGAAGTAATTCTCCCTTAGATCCTCACTATGCATGTCTAAGCCATCATCGACGATGGCAACGGTAGCATTCTTGCCAGTGACGCCCTCCATCCACACACCAGTGACGTTGACGTCATTGCCGACCTCGACAGAATTAAACAGATGCCACTGTGCAGTAAAAATCGGGTCCTTAATGCTGAGTGTATCCATAATTGTTTGCTGTTTCTTGACGGCCGAGAGGGCAGGTTCTGCGGTAGCACGCGGTATATCAGCCCCGGGAGGAGGTGGCGGGATTACACGTTTATGCAAATGTCGACGCAGCTCCTGCTTAGCCGAGAACAGCACTCTGTCCAGGACATCGTACTGATCTGGTGCGCGCTTCTTTCTCTTAATTTCTAGTAGTTCTCTTCGTACGATGTCGTGCTCAGTTTTTCGAGAGCGGAAAACGTGATGGTCGGACAGTGCACCGACGGTGCCTTCATGTCGAAGATGTAGGCGAGACTCGATTTGTTCTGGAGAAACAGAGGAGTCAATCTGCAAGACGTAGTAGTCATTGTTTTTGTAATCCCTTGGTGCATGGCCAGCATAGGAGAGGGAGGCGAGGCCAACAAGGCCAGCGAAAAGCGCAACTCTCATATCGAAGGATAATGTGGCGGGCTCAAGACGGAGGCGATGACCGCCCGGGAAGGCGAGGAGCGGATACAAATACCAAAAGGTTCAATACATCTGAAAACTCAAAGGCGTATCTCCAAATTCCTAGGTAGATACACGCATGAGCCCGCATTAAGAGTAAAAGCTTGTGTGTAGGGGCCTGATGACACTTCCGTCGTCAGCGCAACAAGCGTCGTGTCCCAGTCGAGATGGGAGTGGCTCTGTCCCGTCCGGGGAGCAGCGGTAAAAAAAGCAACCGTGACGTCGGAATGTATCGTGGCAAAATGCGCTTGCGTGCCGAGCCACAGGCCTCGTGTAGGATGGCTTTGTCCGGCCCGTGGATGATGAAGAAAGTAGATAGGTGACACTATATCGGCCAGATGAAGGAGAGACGTCGGATTTGAAGCGTCGTGGTCTTTCATGTCGAGACCAGACCTATGGCAATCGGGGGCGACCCCTAACCAAGCCCGCAACGCTACTGGCAACTCAAGAACACCAGGACACTGGGGTGGTGGGGCAGGTGGATTTCCAGTACTCCTTGGACTCGGGAAGCAGACTGGGGGCCCATGCCTCAAGTTTCAGTTACACTTGGTAAAGTTTTTACAATGGGGGCTACAGAAGTAGAGGATACGCGGTATGTGCCTCCTGTCCCAAGAGTCCGAGGCGCAGGGTTTGAAGCTACCAGGAAAGCAACAAGGTCAGAGTTGTTAGGACAGAACCTGGGACGACTTGTTGAGCATGCGCCTACCTGAGTACCTTTGTATCACATAGTCCCGGACATGCGGAGTGCACGCCCCTTCTGTTCCCTCCTGCCACTGCAGCGTGATCAATGCGCACTTGAGGATCGCAACAACGTGTCCTCGAATTGCAAAACGGTTAAATATTAGGTTCCGTTCGTCCTTGCATTGCTCGAGCTTTTGGAAGCACTCCACCTACCGTAGACACCTAAGAAGTGAGTACTTAAGTACCTAGGTAGGGATTGAAGTCGCTTTGGTCCAAAAAGGTAGGTGTGTAGAGCTCCTTCCCTATTTGCACGATGGAATGGCTGAACTGCCACAGGCGCCCCATCCAATTGACAGGTACGAATGAATAGGATTCATGATCACCTTTTTCTCACCACTCCCAATGCGATCCTCGGCGTCTCGCCATCAAACCACTTCTTGAATCAATATGATACAAGCAATGCTAAACCCTCCATGTCCCACTTCTAGCTCTGCTCGTCTAACCAGCTCTAGGTTCTAAAATTTGTCTCGTCTATCTTGACACCGTTAAGAACGCTATTGGTGCAGTCGCATTGAATTTCAACAAGACCCGGTACCGAATTTTCATAAACGCCGAATCCAACCATTGTCCCTTGCGCCGCGGCTACGCCTCGTTTTGGCTACCCGTGTCTACAAGGCCTTCTCCTTGTGAATCTCGATACTTGGCGGTGCGCCAGTGAGCTCCTTGCATCGCGCATATATGACAAATTGGCCGGAAACCAGTGCACAGGTCATGACCAGACGTGGCCCTAACCCGGTCAACAACAACCTCTTGGGACCGAATTCCCTTGCCAGTTGAAACATCCTGCTTGTGGCACTCTGGTTCCCGTCCCCAGCTCCCTTGTTGATGGCAGAGAGTAACGTGTCTGCGGGGTGTGAGAGCACGGCAGCAGCGGCACCAGCTGCCAGACCCGACGTGAGCTCCACTCCAGTTGACTCGAGGCTGGTGAGCTTGGCCTTTCGTTCTGGGCCCATTGTCCGGAAAATGATCTCGTTGACGGCTTCATGGACTGAGAACTGCCCGACGGCGAACGGCACCTGCTTGAACAGCAGTGGCACGAAACCCGAGTAGAATCCTCGAAAGCCTTCTTCTCTAGCCATTCGCATAAATCCCGACGCCAGCCCACTCGCGTAGCCTCTCTGCGAGACTAAACGGATTCGAGTTGCCTCAAGGGGGCAAAGCAGAATATCTGCAAAAAACTCCGCTGTAGCGCTGGCACCCAAGTATATGC